AAATATGCCGACTTACAATGTATGAGAAATGCATGACGACTAAGAAATGCCGACTTAGAAATGAAACTTTGAATGGAAAAGTGGAAATGCATTACAGACGATCGGCGACTGGGACTTTTCTTGAAAGGCTGAATATGACTTAGCATTATCAAACTAGAGAGTCGTCGTAATATTAAAAAAGGGAAAATGTTTCAATTATTGAAAGTTGCATAATCACAAGTTGTGTACATATTGTCATAATTGTGTGAACCAAATACTTCAGCTACAAGTACAGTACGTCTGAATCTGAGAGTCAAACTATTACATTTACTAAAATCTTGAAAATGCACTTTACACGTACCTTTCTGAACAGTTAATTAGGAATACGGAGTGTATTTTTTTTGTGTTACAAGTTTACGAATGACAGGAAAGAATAAATACCTATAAATGCAAATGCCTTTCCAGTGTTTACAATTTTATTTCTTAATTAACCCAACTTCCTTACAATGTTTGATAAAATTTAACCATACCACTTGACTGTGTCGACGTGGATTTCTTTGGAGTTACTTTTTTGGCATCATGTTCATTTTGGCGATGAAATTTCACTGTTGTGTTTGTTTCTACTACATGTAAATCTGCTGTTTAGCTAAGTTGGTCCCATCTGGGGTTCTTCAAACCACAAACATGTAACTAGCAAACCAATGAAACCTGTAGTCTTTCCTGGAAGGATAGGAAGTGCTAGACAAAATAATGGGGAATTCTGAATTTGATCTCTTTGATCTCAATTGTGGTGAAAGTATATAACTCACCAATGGCGGCAGGCTAATAAGCCTCACAACGGATTAGATGTTTTAAAAGTCAATAAACAACTCATTGCCAAGTGATATTTGGGGGTTGTGCGTCGTATATATGTATAAAAGTACAGCTTCAGCAAGCAAAATCATTTTCTCATATTCAACTGTTCGACATAGAGCAAGAACTGTGCCTAATCTCTAAAACACGAACTACTGTACCTCTGCTGTATGGGTTCATTTCGGTCTCGAAGTGGATGACGATGCCAAGATTATTCAGGAAAATGAGGCCACATGTAGATTTTGTAGGAAAAAAGTACCAGCAAAAGATGGCAACACTACCAATATGATGTCGCATCTAAAAAACAAACATCCACTGGAGTACAGCATCACAATCTGGCAACGACAGTCAACATCAGGCTCAATAACGTAAGATGCATCACAGAAGACCATCGCCGAGGCATTTGCCAAAGGGAAAAAATATCCCAAAGACAGTCCCCGATGGAGAGAACTGACAAGTGCAGTTACATGTACTAACTTCATTGGGAAAGAAATGATGCTCTTCTACATGGTGGAGAAGGAAGGATTCCAGAGGATGCTGGCAGCCTTTGATCGGCATTACGAGATACCAGGGTGGAAGTATTTTTCAAACACGGCTATCCCAGAGCTTTACAACAAGTCAGAGAGAACATGGCAACTTCACTTTGTAGCGTGGATTTTTTCTCCGCTACTACGGACATGTGGTCCAGCAACACCATGGTGCCTTTCATGAGCCTAATGGTTCATTTCATAAATGATGACTAGGAACTCCAAAGTCGATGTCTCGAAACAGTTTTCATCCCTGACCACCACACCGTCGAGATCCTGAATGAATCACTGAAGTCTAGTCTACGGGAATGGGACCTGCCAGTTGAAAAGCTGGCATGTACTACAACTGACAATGGAGCGAACATTGTAAAGGTAGTAAGGGACCTTGGATGTCCATGGCTCAACTGCTTCGACCACAACCTCCATTTGGCCATCACAACCAGAAACTCCATCAGCAACACCCCAAACACCCCAAGCTCTCGGACAGCACTGAGCATACAGTGCTTATTAGCATACGTTGGGTACAGGCAAAACCGTTATATAT